AGCGTGATGGGTATATTGATGAATAAGGAAACCCTCTGAGAAAAGCTGAGCTGCATAGCAATAAATACGGGGAAGGGGCCTCCCTGGTGGTGCAACAGGTTAAAGTGCAGCACTATGAAGCTCTCACAGGTTCGATCCCTGGCCAGGGAGGTGACCCACATGGCGCAGCAGACCTCTCCTGGCCCGCCCGCTTCTCCCCTCAGCGGTGTATTTTAGTAGACCTGCTGGTTCTGCTCCTTCTTCTGTCTCTCATGAATCCTCTCAAACCCCCCCCCCCACACACACACACACTTCTGGTGTGTACCGCAGTTCTTACATGTATATATAAATAAATCTTTTTTTTAAAAAAGAAGTTTTGTCTTGATACAGGGATGGCAGAATCCACTTAGAGCAGGCAGGTTTGGGGGTCCTCAGCCGGCCCACTAACACCAGTGCCCCATCTCGGTGATACCCTGGAGAAGAAAGCAACATAAAATAAGACTTTCAAGGTGTACCCAGCAGGCCTGTGCTTAAGTACAGAACTGCTTTTGCTTAATGTCCTCAAGTACTGAGTCAGAACAATGCTCTCCTTGGTGAAAAGCCAAGGAGGTGATGAGATGGTTTGCATGACTCTTACTGTCACCCCCAGAACCTACCACTCTAAATGGGTTCTGCCATCTGCCACATCAAGACAAATCATATAAGACCTTTAATGGAAAAGAACTTTAATATAATTAGTGTGCCATACAGAAAAGACAAAGAATATAGTTTCTAAATCAAATACCCAAAGTTACCCTTGTGGGTAAAAGGCCACCCAAAGGGGATTGGCCCAAAGCAAGGCCTGAAAGCTGCCACAAGACTAAAGCACCTTCTGGCCGGGACCCATCAAAAAGGGTCAGACATGGCCAGACAAGTCTGGGAGGAAAAGAGCAAAATCAAATCAAGATAAATGCTGCCATAGTCACCTCCCCACAGGTCTCTCACCCACCTCTGTCACCCAGTCCAGGACCAAGAAACAAGAGCTACTTCTTCACATGTCTGTCTGCTCCATCTACCTCCCTCAGGTCTCCTCCTGGCTCTCCATCCTTCCTCTTCAGTCTCTTCTCTGCTCAGCTGTATCCACCCTCCTTTTGGGGGGCAGGGAACCTGGAATCTCCCCTTTTCCTAGAGACCACCTTGTTACATTATTTCTTCAGTTATTTTTATTAAGTTTTGCAGTTATGAAAAAACCCATTTTCTTCCTTTTTTGGGGGGAGGAGAATCTTATTAGCTTCTTGAATTGAACACTTATTCATTTTACTTTTTTCCTACGCTTTATTTATCTATGCACACAAGAGCTGGGGTGTAGACCAGATGTGTGGGGGGTGAGAGGATCCACCAGAGACAGAGTGGAGAGCAGAACAGGAGGATCTACAGAAATACACTGCTGAGGGGAGCAGTGAGTGAGACAGGAGAGATCTGAGCCATGTGGGTCAGCTCCCTGGCCCGGGATTGAGCTCATGCTGCAGTGGGCTGGTGATAGCTTCATAGTGCTGAGACTTAACCACTTGCGCCAGCAGGAGGCCCTATCTCACTCATCGTAAGTCTTCCTTTGTTAGTGGGCAGACTGAGAGGTACCTTGGGGTCCCCAAACTTGCATGCACTAAAGGGACTCTGGCACCTGGCATATGAAGACAAAGCAGGCGCTTAGTGTGAGAGAACTTTAATGGCATTAGTATGCAGAGAGACAAGTCTGCCACCTGCCTGTCCCTACCACCCTCAAAAGGACTGTCCAGGCTAACCGAGTCGCCGATGTCCCTGATCCCACTCACAGCCTCTCCAGCCTTCACTGTGCTCAACACCTCGTCCGGGAGCCAAGTGCGCAGCTCACTTCCCTCAGTCCCTTGCCTTCCACATTCAGGCTAGGGTCAGAGGTACTTTACGGAGAGCGGGAGACCAGCCTCATGCAGCACGGGCCATCTGTCATAGCCCAGCCCTGCAGCCTTCCTCCCTGCCAGGTTTGTGACACGAGTTAATGAGAAACTGCCTAAGAAGTGCTGGATGTGTGGGAGGAACAGCGGTCATGTTGAGAACTTCCATGTGCGTGGTGCTTGCCCTGTAGATTTTTATTCAAAAACAAAAATCGCTTCACTCACCTTGGTCCTCCGGATAGTCTGAAAATCCAAGTTATTTCTGCCCACACTGAAATCCCTTGGGAAGGGAGGGAGGAATACACAAGTTGCTTAAAGAGGCTGGCAGGGTGATATGGGAGAGGGAGACAGAAAACAGAGGCAGTTGTTTCAGGAGTGAAACTTCGGTGAAGGTGAGATAGTAAGATAATGGGGGGGTGGTTCGATGTTCTGCTTTGCAGTTGGCATTTTATTTCCTACAATCTCATGCACTCTGGCAAAATTCTATACCATTCTTTCATGGTTTTGTATTTGAATTGGCATTTAGGACAGTACTAGAAATAGTTGACTTCCAAAGGCGGCTCAAGAAGATCTCCTACCCATAGTACAGAAGCATGATGCACAACTTTGCAAAGGTTGTACATAAAACTTGACATTAAACTGTAATTCTTTTCTGGTGCCTTTGTGGTCTCCAGCTCACCTAGCATGTAAGCTCCATGAGGAGAGGCACCGGGTCACCTCACTCCCCACTGTGACCCTGGCCTCCATTGTCTCATAGGGGGCAGGGATTCAGCAGATTTGATGCCTAAATGACTGACGTTCCTTTACTGACAATAGCTGCGTTAATCCGCAGAATGGACGCATTCTTAACACTCCCCAAAGTGATGGGGCTGAGTCTGCCTCCTGATTCTTCTTTCTTCAGGTACTGATTCTCCTTGTGGCTTTCTTATCTTTACCTCCTCAGCGCCTCCTAGACTGGTGGATGGATGGGAAATCGATTTACAGGGGAAAATCTAGAGGACCTGGGTTGGACAAGGGACTGGTAAAGGTGCTGTGAGGAGTACATGAGGGACGCCTTAGATTTCTGATTCATGCATCTGGGCTGACAATGGTACTGCTCACCTGCAGAAGTAACTGGAAAAAGTGCTGGGGGAGGAGGGCGGCGATCAAAAGTCCACTCACTTCTGGATATGTGGGGTTGAGGTGACTTTAGGATGTACGTGTTGAAACGATAAATAGACACCTGATGGAACTGACAAAAGAATGCTTTCTTTTGCCCTCTCCCATAGACCCAGAACGTGTTAGAAGAGTAATGAGGACACACAGATGACATTTCTATGCATCACTCACTTCGGTCTGTGCAGATCCCTGGGTGGCAGAATGAGACTTAAGCTGGGAAATTATTTGCCTGGCTGAATTTAAAACACTTCAGACACTTGCCCTTGGAATTTGTATAAGGCTGAGGAAATAGCAAATGCAAAGACCTTGAATTGGGAATGAATGTATTCTCTAAAATCTGTTAGTGGCTTGTGAAAAAGGCTTAAGAGTTGAAGGTGCTAGTAAGGATGAAGTCAAAGAAGCAACGTGTGGGTGGGGAGGGAGGAGACTTCAGCTACATTGGTAGAAGGCCAGAAAATAAAACTAGAGAGGGCGACCTTCTATCTCCAGGTCCCACAATGTGTCTGACATAGGGCCAAGGGTGGGAATTAGGGAGACAGGTTCCCCCTCAACCTAGGATGCACTTTCTGCACTCAGCTCCGTTGAGGATGGGTGGTCCCCAGAGCTAAAGGTGCTTGCAGAGAGACTAGACCACTGGGCAGGAAATGGGGAAGATTCAAGAATTTAAGTATCTGAAGCAGATGCCAACCTTGAAAATTCCTTTCAGGGACCTGTGAGAGAAGTCAGCAGGGCGGCTGAAGGGCTGCCCTGGGCTTCCTGGGCTGACATTCCAGAACCCTAATGAAGTGTTCCCTGGGACTGGATCTAGTCAGGCATCCGAGAGAGAGGCTGGCATCTGGGCAAGTTACTTTAAACTCCCCACAGGGCGCAACTGAAAAAGAACAGGTCCCAAAGCCCATGACAAGCTGGGCAGAGTGGGGGTGGGCGAGACTTGTTATCCAGGGCAGCACCAAGTCTGGGGACCCCACCCCCAAACCTGATACCCCCATCAGGGGTACCAAGCAGACAAATAACTTCAATTCTTACAGTGAAAGTTTTCCTCCTTACATTCCCATTCTATCTTTCTAACTTTATTAGACAATTCTCAGTTGGCAGTAGTGTATCTAATTCCACCATAACCTCAAGCTCCCTCTGTACCAAGAGAGCAAGCCTCGGGCTCACTCTTCAGGCAGGAGCCAGGTGCTGCAATTCATACCTCATAATACGGGCTGGTTTTCATTTTATAATTACTATGTCAGGTACATATCTTAGGTGAAATTTTTTAAATTCATTTAAATTTTAAAAGGAGGGCCTTCCCTGGTGGTGCAACGGGTTAAAGCACAGCACTACAAAGCTATCACAGCCACTGTAGCACAAGTTCTATCCCCGGCAGGGAGCTGACCCACATGGCGCGGCAGACCTCTCCTGACCCGCCCGCTGCTCCCCTCAGCAGTGTATTGTCGATCTGCCTGTTCTGCTCCTTGTTCTCTCTCTCACCACCCCACCACACCTCTGGCCTGCACCCAGTTCTGTATGCATAAGTAAATACATCTTTAAAAAAATAAGTGAGTTCCTGAAAAATACTAAGTACTGAGCAGGCCAGGAAGTACAGAGATCTGGCAAAAGTCATGACGGTGACACACTGACAGCGGTGCCTTGGGGAACACAGTTCTAGAGCAGGGCTGGGGCACAATGACTTCATCTCATGCCGTTGTGCTTTCTGGGCTTTGTCCAACTTATTGTTCTTGTTCCTTAATAATGATTAGTTCTGAAAAATTTCAACCTTATTTTAGCTAAGGGGAAAGAAGTGATTTTCCTCTGGGTTAAAAAGAGCAAAACAGAGGGGATCCACAGGCTAGTGGCTCAGAGTGGGGACTGTGGGGTCAGTGAAAAACCCCACACACCTCTGCAAGAGAGAAGAGAAAGGAGAAAATTATAAAATATTAGTTTTTAATGTTTTTCTCTTTAAAAAAAAAAGCTATTACATTTATATGGTCAGTTAATTAAATTTAAAAATCTGTTGCTGCAAAATGTAGCCGATTTAAAAGATTTGTGGATCTCTTGACTCCAAATCCATCACTGGTCCATTGTGACCCTTCATTTCTTAGAGACATCACACTTTTGGGTTTTTCTTTAGAAAACATGATCTGAGGTCATTAGCAAGTAATCAGCAATGCAGGCGTTCAGAGCTCGGGCTGAGGCAGCGCTGGGTGTCCCAGCTCAGCTGGGTCCACACTGGACCCTCGAGGTACATCAGGGCTCACTCCTTGCCCGGCGGCTCCGGGGACCCCAATCTGCCGAGTCCAGCTCTCCTTCCAGGGACCAACTGCATCCTTAGCTTCAGTCCACTTTGATTCTGCTCAGTTCCCATCTTCCTTCCGCATAGAGTTTCAGAACCAAGGAGTGGAACTACAAGAGAGGGCACCCCACAGGGCCAAGCTGTCAAGCAGAGGCCTTTAGCGCCTGGCCCTGTGCCATCTCCACGCCCCATCTGAGGGGCCTCTGGCCTCGGCCAGGCCCAGCCTTTGGGTTCTTCCTCCCCCTGACTCCCCTGCGTGCACGGTACCTTCTCAAGGCTGCGCCGATGGCCCACACTGATAAACGTCATGCCCAGCTGCTGACCGATGCGGTAGAGCTCGCTCTCCACCTCCTCGGTCAGGGCACTGGTGGCTTCGTCCAGCACTGAGGGGACAGTCCACAGGAAGATAGGGCGTCTTGACCCTGGCCTGTCTACCTTGCGACCCAGCCACACTGGCAGGGACCCAGGGCAGGCCAAAAGCCGCTCTAGTTATAGGAGCCCAGGCTGGAGGAGACGACGGTCAAAGAAGCAGGGGCCAGGCTCCAGGTGGGCAGCCCCTGCCAGAGGCAGGACAGCCCCAAGTTTCCTAGACATGGGCACCAGCCACAGCATATTTTACTTTCCCATGAATGTAAGTCCTTGAGAAATCCCACACCTGCCACGCAGGGGGGTGGTCACTCAAGGTGTCGGAGCCTGAGGAGCCTGGAAGCTCAGCTCTCTGGGGCTTGGCCCGGCTGCTGTGACGGCGGCAGCGTCTGACCCAGCGGCAGACCACGAGGAAGCCAAGCACTGTGGCCTCATGGAGGAGCCCACCGCCCTTGCCTGTGAGCACTCAGTACCTGACATGCACCTGCAGGGCGGACCTCACCTGCGTACTTTGGCTGCAGGTAGAAAAGCCGGGCAAAGGAGAGCCTCTGCATCTCCCCCGGGGACAGAACATCATACCTGAGGAAAGGGCAGGTGAAGGAGAGCTGGAAGAGGCAGACTACACTTTGTGATGCCTAGAGTAGGTGTCAGCAGGGAGAGGTTCTTTCTAGAGAGAATGGCCAAGCTGACCCCTTTCAACCACAGCCCGGATGTCCTCACAGCTGAGGCCAAAACTGCTCCCGAAGGCATCAAACAAGCCCCAACATCCGCAAACTCCTGGCCTTCTGGCTCAGGAACTGTTCACCGCCACCTGACTTGGCTCCTGGGCGCACCGCCATCTTGGGGAAGCTGGCTCTGGAGCACCAGGCCTTTTCTTACCAGTTCCAGTCGACCTGCTGGTCCAGTCCCTCCGTTCTTGCCACCAAGCTGGACTGTAACACACCCGGAGGGAACCTGTCCGTGCTTCCTGCCATCCCAGGGAACCTCCTCACACACACAATGCTGAGACTCAGGGGCGTACCAAGGTGGGGTGCTGAGGTAGCCCACTGCCCCGGGCAGAGACCAGACTGTCACCTGCATTGCTTAGATCTGCTGGAGCACCGTGGCAGAAAAAAGCAGACTTGGTTTCATTACTTTTTAAAATCCGCTACAGAGGGGTGTTTGCACACTCTGGGCTGTCTGGCTAGCAGCTGCCTCTGCACTTTGTATGTCAGCCCCTGGCCCCGGTGCATGCTGCTGGTCCTGGGCCCAGGGGCCGTGGCCAGTTCACGGGGGCTTAGCCCTCAGCGTCCCTCCCCCACTTACCAGGCCTGCCAACTCCAAGAACCTCATAATCCTCTCGTCATCAGTAGAACCTGCAAAAGAGACGCCTCCGTCAAGAATCAACTACAGCTGTCGCTTCCCTTCCTCCAGAAAAAGCTGGGCTGAGGGGACTTACTTTAAAAGAGCAAATAGCTAGAGGAGGGGAGGCAGCCTAACCCAGCAGCCCGAGGGGGCGCCCCGGGGCACAGGTGAGGCCAGCTGAGAGGGGAGGACTTGCCTGAAGAGGCCAGCTTACCTGCGCCCGGGTAGATCTCCTTCAGGGGGTATATCACCTGATGAAACAGAACCCACATGGGTCTAGGACAAGGGCGGGCGGGGCGGGGCCCGGGAGAGGGCCCTCCCTCGGAAACACCCCGTGGAACCTGTGTGTCTGGGAGAAAGTCTTTGGAACCCTGAGGGCAGGGCTCCAGGATGCAGTCGGGATGCCCAGG